TTTATTAATTTAATTAATATCATCGTATTCTACGTAAAATTCTCTATAAAATTGATATATCACATATTGACATTTTATATAAAATATTTCCCGATAAAAGTGGTCACTCCGGCCGATCTCGAGGTCACAGGACAATATAAATTACATATTCAGGCTCAACATTGAATGGACTTTCATATCCAATCAAAAAATTCCTATTGCCAGATAGCAAATTCTGTATTGTATTATGACAAGGTTCTTATATCACCTATCATACATTCATTAGATTCATACATTACCGATATTTTATAATATAACTTATAATATTATTCATAAAATATTAAATATAAATAAATTTTATATTTGGAGATTAGAGTAGTAGAGTAATAGAGTGGTTAGGTTTTACAGTTCGCCTTTCAATCATTCATTTTGAACTCATTTGTGAACTATTATCAAATCCAATCGAATTTCAATTAGAAGTCTTTACTACAGAGTGTGTGTACGTGTGTACAGACCACATCATTGGGGGGAATGTATGAATATATTGACATCATTATGATTTGTTCAATATTATTTCATTTTTAATTACTTATGAAATATAGCAATTAATTTCGCAATATATTAATTGCATATATCAGGATTATAAAAGTATTATTTTGTAATAGAAAAAATAAATTCAATTATTTAACATTTTTTAACTAAAACCCAAAAATCATTTTAATTTAAACCTTATTATTAATCGATGTTATATTATGGTATTTTCTATAATTAAAGTAAAATTAAATAAAGATATTAATATAAATATTTTTAAAATAAACTTAAACATTAAAAATCTTATTCAAAAAAAATTTATTTAGTGTAATGCAACACATAATAAGTTAATTTCTAATTAAAGCAATTAAATTAATTAATGATTTCATAAGTTTTAAACTAGTAAACATATTAGCGATTGCCTCGTAATACTGTATATTATTTCCATAAATTAAAAATAAATTATTGTTTAAAAATAATAATACTTTTCACATCTCTTGTAATTAATAATAAAATGAATTTTGAAAATAATTAAACAAAATAATGAACTTTTATTTGTTTTTCAAAATTATGCTAAACAATGACTACCGAAATCACAAATAATAATCTACTAAATTTACTATGCTCCTTTTTAGTTTATAATTTATTTATTAATAAATTCAATTAATTTTATTAGTTATACCGTCAAATATAGCTTGATCCAATTAAACAATTACATAAACAATACCTTAAAACGAATGCAGAGTAAATATTTTAAAATTAATTATTACACTAAAATCATATAATTTTGACAAAACCTGATTTTTGAAGTAAAGAGTGGATAACATAAAAAAATCATTTGAAATTCATTAAAAACAACTATTATATACGAATATACATGTATAATAGTAATCGTATATCTTTTTCATTCACGTATTTTTTAATTCTTTTAAACTTTACTTTAAGTACTTGTGTGACGAAAAGGGAGAGAGAGAGAGAGAGAGAGAGAGAGAGAGAGAGAGAGAGAATGGAGAATAAATGGCTAGAATTGAGGTCACAATGCAATGCAAACGCCCGGAAGGTATTGAGGCGAAAGTGAGTCACAACTTATACAACAAAATGAAAACTACAGTAATATTGAGGCAATAGTATTGAGCTTTGATTTGTTGAACACATTGAACAACATTTTGAACAAAAAATATGGAAATTTTCTTTTACTTTCATTACAATCGACTGATTTTGAGTTGAATCATAATTGAGGTTTCGTGTAAAGCAAAAACCTATTGGTAAAGGAAAATATATGCTGCAGTCGTATTTCAACTAATTTATCCCGTTCCTAATTAATGTCTTATATGCATGTACTGTATATCCCTATCCCTTACACTTAACTAAATTGCAGTTTAATTTATGTTTGTCTGACTAAACACTTAAATCATTTATTTATTTGTTGCAAACATACTATGATACTATATATTTGTGTTTATCTGAAACTTTAAAGACTGTAGTTTTCATTTTAATAAATATATTTTGATAATTTTTATTTATAACAGAAAAAGTGAGATAATTGTATAAAATAATAATAAATATTGAATATTCTGACCAATGTAATAAAAAACAATATGTAGTTTAAAATGAAATATGTTCAAGTGACATGACTTGAAGTGAATAATAAATGAGAATTTGAATAAAATTAATAATAAACATATTATAATTAATAATATTGTTATACCAAATATGAATTGCGGGGTCAATGTAATAATTGAAAGACCCAGGTAAGCCTTAATGATATATTTGCACACAATATGGTATGAAAGTGTAGTGAACCTGTCATACAATTGAATGTCTGTCCAATAAAGTGTATCTCCTGTTTAACAAACTGAGCGAAAGTGCAAAATATGTGAACCTTTTTGATGATAAAAGAAGAGGAGTTGTGATGACGACAAAGAAAGTCCTGAAATTGTAATTAAGATTCAGTGAAAGACTTCACATTTGGGCTGACATTGAAGGGCCACCACATGCTATGGTATGTGATGTGAAAACCAGTTATGCTTTTATTATATTGTTTTGCTTTCCATTAATGTTTGGCTCACAAAATGTTTCAGACATTGTATGCAATTCTCTGCCACACTATTGGATGCAATCATTAAGTTTTAAAAAAACTTTCATCGAAAAAATCTTCGCTGAAAATTCAAAGTCAAACATTATCTCAAACTCACATCTTTCGTCATAATACCAGTGCTTTTTGTGTCACAACACAGTGTTTGCTGTCAGCTCTAATCAAATGGGATATTTAAAAATAGTTATTTCATAAGACTTGTTGAAAACATTATCATTTCATTAAACCGATAGTGAGATTCAAATAGTGAGACATTGGATACAATGGAAAACTTTTCGTATATCAAAGACGGCGACGACACCATCGAAAGGGTGCTAAACAATGATCCCGACTATAAAACTAAGGACTTGGCCGTCGACGTCAGGAATGTTGTGTTTGGCTATAAAAAGAAAGTGCCTGTCCTTAACAAACTGTCCCTCTCTGTACCAAAAGGTATATTCATTTGAAGTTGTAATCTTGAAAACCATAAACTTTTATACTAAAAATGGTTGAAAACAAAACTAATTTCAGGCAAAATATTTGCGCTTTTGGGTCCCAACGGCACCGGAAAGACAACACTAATTCGCTTGATATTGGGTCGACTCAAGTACTCGTCGGGAATTATACGGGTGTTCGGCATACGACCGGGCAGTAAGCACTCGGACATACCGGGCCCTGGAGTGGGTTATATGCCTCAAGAATTAGCCCTTTTTGAGGAATTCACGATTCGAGAAATTCTTAGATATTATGGAAACCTCTATCACATGGAAAGCGATGAACTACTCAACAGAATCGACAATTTGATTGAAATATTAAATCTACCCGAAAGTAGTCGACCCATCAGTAGACTAAGCGGTGGTCAGAGGAGACGGGTATCGATCGCTATAACTATGGTTCATAGGCCGCGGCTAATCATATTGGATGAGCCGACCGTCGGTGTGGACCCTATGCTGAGGCTTAGAATGTGGCAGTACTTAGAGAATTGCTGCAAAAGATATGGTGAGTCCACACAACCTGCGCCTATACTAGCATTTCATTACATTGAGCTATAAATTAGGGGAATTCCTTATAACTAGTTCTATATTATATACAAATAAAAACGAATATATATTTTAAGAAAAATAAAACTATTTTAGACCATCTTTTGAATAGATTTACAATAACAACCTTATCGTAAGTGTTGTGCGAGTGTACGAAATATTGTTACATCAGTACATTAGACCATAATTAACTATTGATATGACAAATAAAATTATATATAAACGAGTGAATCATGAAAAATCATACATAATAACTATAATCGGTTTGTAATTATTGAAAGTATTTCCCCTTTATTTTCACTATTTTAGGGCAAACAGTGATTATAACCACACATTACATCGAAGAGGCCAGGAGTGCGGCTCAGGTGGCGTTTATGAGCACCGGTGTCATACTGAAACAAGACAACCCGCAACTATTGCTACAACAGTTTAATTGTGGGACTCTGGAGGAGGTGTTTCTCACATTATGTGTGAATCGCAACAAAAATCTCAAAAATCGCGACAAAAACTTTAATGAAATGCCAAACTATAGCCAGACGTCAGACAATAATAATATTGAACATAAAATCGATGGCAATATAATTGAGGAAAATTTTGGATTAAATGACGAAATGAAAAATAATTACAACAAACATATGATTCACACGAGAAGGCGAGGCATCGATTTGAAGCGAATTAAGACAATGCTATCGAAAAACTTTCTGTTGACTGTTAGGCGACCCCTCTATCTGATTGTCTTTTATGTAATGCCGTTAATAGCGTTGGCGTGTATGAAGCTATCCATTGGTCGTAAACCACATCACATTCCCGTTGCCTTCTATAACGCCGACCCCAACTCCAAACTCTCGCAACTCTTCCTCGACTCCATTGAACCCTATTATCTAAGTCTTCAGGAATACAGAGACAATCAGTCGGCAGTCAATAGTGTGACGAATGGCGTCAACACATTGGCACTGATTTTCCAGCAAAACTTTTCAGATACCTTTGCGCTCAGACTTACCGATCTCTACGACATGACAGATGATGAACTGGACACCAGTCAAGTGAAAGTTTACGCCGACTTTTCCGATAGCATTGTCGGCAATAATGTCTACAACAGTCTGTTGAGGGCTTTTGAGATATTCCTTAAACATTTGGGTCCCACGTATGGCCACAATCTGTACCGATATTTCTTTCCAATAACTCTCGAGCCGCCCATCTATGGCGACACCGATTTAAACCTCAATGTATTCCTGACGCCCGGCCTAATGATGGCTCTGCAACACGTTTTGCCAATGATTGTGTCGGCCATGCAAATCATATACGACCGCAAAAACACAAGTATGGAAAGGGTGTTAGTGGCGGGCGTTAAGCCCATTGAGTTCTTCATCGCTCACGTCATTCAGAACATAATACTCATTACCACTCAAGTGGCCATCTCTATGATCATTGCATTTGTCATATTAGATATGCAACAATTGGGCAGTTATGTCGAGGTCTACCTATTCCTGTTCCTACAGGGCATACAAGGCATGGCTATCGGACTCCTCGTAGCCTTAATACTGTTCGATGAGGTGTCTGTTGGGGTAAATAAATTACTTCATATTTCTATAATTTTATAAATCTACACTTTTATATTTAACTATGTGATTCCTTTTATAAAATTTATAATACAATGCTGAACACAATAGTTATGTTTTGAATACAAATTTTTTTATTAAGATTTTTAATTATATTTTGTTTATACCGTAATTATAGATCGGATTGACGGGACTTATGTTGCCCCTATGGATAGTGTCAGGTGTGATATGGCCCATACAGTCCATACCGTTTTATTTCCGATATTTTGCTGACTTGAGTCCACTCACTCAGCCATTGGAATCGATGCGATCAGTAATGTTGAAGGGCTGGACCTATCAAAACCCCAATGTCCTCAACGGATACATAATCAGTGTTGTCTATACTTTAAGCATAAGTATCTTAAATATCATTTTATTTCAATTCTATTCAGACAAAGCCTTTTCTCTGCATTTGTATTAACATTGAAAACAATATTTAAAATTTTTATTACAAGAAAACAAATTAAAAATATAATGTTAAAACTATGTCTATCAGTGATAATTTACAATAAATCAGTTTGATTTTCATAGTAAATGAGACAATATTTAATACTGTATTACTATTTTGAGCATAAAATTTAATGATTTTGTGTAGATAATACTGTAAACTGAAATTAACAATTATACCGGTAATTCTATAAATATGATAAGATAAAAGAAAAGCTAACATGTACAAATACCGTAAAACTCTTTTAAAAATATTTATTTTAAATTTCTTAAGTTTTCTATAATTTAATTCAATTGTTTCTGTTGGTAAAAATTAAATTTTTATTAAATGGATAATAATAAAAATGTTTTTCTATATAAATTTAAATAATGTAAAATTCAATCCAATACAAATAATTTTATTGGGTTTTATTTGTAACATACATTTGGGTTTTATACATTATTTAAATAAAAATTAAGTATTTATTTTTTTTAATTTGGAAAACCCTTTATTTGAAATATAGTTTTGAAAAATAAATTTAATAAAAAGTGGTTTAGCGCACATTTAATTATTTCCTAGAATAATATTAATATTAACGATCACAAAATTATCATTTTCTGATTCATCCATGTTTACTTTCTACATGCTAAGTAATTTGCTCATTAATATTAAATATAATACAGTATTTATATTCATTAATGTTTAATAGTGCTTAAAAAATACAGTTTTGTGGCAATTAAATCCTTTTAGTTGACAAATATCATCAATATTGATAATGCCTTGAAGCAAATTACTTTAATGGATAAATATAATTTTTAAAATATCTTTATAAAAGCATAATTTTTAAATATTTATTCTCAATTAATCATAATAAAACTGACATTTTATTGACATTTTATCAACTTTACTTTAATAGTTTTTATAAAACAACAGAAAATCATTGATTTTCCATTTAATTACAACTAAAAACAATTAATTTGCTAATGAAAATTATGTCCTTGAACAAAATAAATTTTATATTCTATTTAGAGACATTTTACAAATTAAATCAGTAGCATGATATAAAATGTGCTTTCATGTATAGTTGTATAAACCTTGAAATATAAATATCATTTCAAATTAACGTTATAATTACAAATTAATAACAAATGAGTGAAATGTTTTACAGAAAAATAAAAATATCTAGGAACGTATTAGACAGTAATTATACTGTAGTGTATAGTATTATTATTATAATACTACTATATTAGGATTGTCAAAATATTCGGAATTTTTAGAAAATTGTATTAAAATTAATTGATATAAATAATTTTAAATCAAAATTGCTTTGTTATCACGAAGTAACAAAAAACTCAAGATTTTATTAGATTTATGATATAATAACAAAATATAACTAATATGATAACATAGTGAGTACATGTGACATACCATTGATGTGTTCACTACGGAATATATTGTATTCAGTACCAAATGAAACGGACATAATAATCATGATAATACAGGAGGATTGTCAAAATATTCGGAATTTTTAGAAAATTGTATTAAAATTAATAGATATAAATAATATTAAATCAAAATTGCTTTGTTATCACGAAGTAACAAAAAACTCAAGATTTTATTAGATTTATGACAAATTATGTGATCAATAATAATAATTAATTTTCTGTTTACTCAACTCTTTGCTCTCAGATTTATGTTTTCCTTCAAAATTATAGTTAGATTTAATGATGAGAACAATAAACAAGAAGAATTTGGCACAAAAACTGATTGCTATCAATCTGTTGATATTATACCAGAATTGGTTTGTCTCGATACTAAAGTGATAGAGAATTGTTGACAATTGTGCTTGGTCACATCGCTCAAATCCGTACAATACAATTAGGATACACTCAAAAGCTAACCGTATAAATGAATACTGGCTTAACATTTGCAGTGAATAATGCAATTGATTTGAGAGTACAAAACAATTGCCTAAAATAGCGTTCACTACAAGTAAGGCGATCGAGAGGACAACCGTTAGTTTGATGTCATTTGGGAATATAATGGCAGACATTTGGGCAAAACTCTGACAACAGATGATCACTAACAGGAATATTGCAAAGTATGTCATAATTTGTCATTCACTACACATTTTTAACTATTAGGTTGTCATCTAGCTGTTGCTATACTGTTGTCCATAATTTAGCGTATGTCAGAACCGATTGTACTTGCAGGGCCATGATATGGTCGGATTGTTAATATGTAAATAAATATTTAATCATCAATTTAAAAGCTGATTATACATTATTGAGCTTCATCCATAATAAAAATTATTACGACAATTTTAAAGAATAATATTAGTACTGTAAATTAACTATAACAAGAAAATATAATTAATATGATAATAGTGAGTACATGTGACATACCATTGATGTGTTCACTGCGGAATATATTGTATTCAGTACCAAATGAAACGGACATAATAATGATGATAATACAAGGAATGACATACAGAATACAGGCGTTGTATTTGATATTCTCTTTAAGTAATGATTCGTTATCCAAATCACTATTTGTTTGATTACAATGACTGCCGAAGTCTATATCCAGACAACCATTTGGTATAATCATTGATGGGTTAAACTTTGTCCGAAACATTAACCCCATGTATAATAAGTTAAACAGTAAGTGATGTGTAAAAATTGATAATCCAACAGTAGATCGACAACGATATGACAACAGGTATTAAATCGCATACAGTCTTGGCTAACATGAACGTCCCGGTACTATACCAGCCTAACAATTAATGTAAATAAATATTTAATCATCAATTTAAAAGCTGATTATACATTATTGAACTTCACGCATAATAAAAATTATTACGACAACTTTAATGAATAATATTAGTACTGTAAATTAACTATAATAACAAAATATAACTAATATGATAACATAGTGAGTACATGTGACATACCATTGATGTGTTCACTACGGAATATATTGTATTCAGTACCAAATGAAACGGACATAATAATCATGATAATACAGGGAATGACATACAGAATACAGGCGTTGTATTTGATATTCTCTTTAAGTAATGATTCGTTATCCAAATCACTATTTGTTTGATTACAATGACTGCCGAAGTCTATATCCAGACAACCATTTGGTATAATCATTGATGGGTTAAACTTTGTCCGAAACATTAACCCCATGTATAATAAGGCAAATATTTGCAAGACTGAGACTTTCCATCTGCACCGGTAGTTGAAAGTCATTGTCCGCATCAGAAGAGAATAAAAGTCATTAAAACTAAATCTCTTTGAAATATTTTGTTTGCCGGAAACTAATCGCATGTTTTCATTGATATGTTCGTCACATTTATCTCTCTTTTCGTTTAAGTTTATAAAATTTATATTATTTTTATTTTCAGATGAAATCTTAAGTAACTCTTCTATTGGTACTTCATTTGTTCCAACTTTTATATGACAGTCCTCGAGATGTTGTCTCAATTGTTTGGGAACTCCATCGTAGAGACAAACGCCTCCTTTGGCCAACACATAGATGTTGTCAAACATATGAAACAAATCGTTGTTTGGCTGATGAATGGATGCAATGATAGTCATACCATGTCTTCGGGACAACACTTTTAAACAGTTAATCACCTGAATGACAGACAACAAATAGGGTTAACACATGAATAGCAAGTAATACTTAATTATGTGAGAGAGATGTCTGACCACTAGAGCGGCACTACTGTCCAAACCAGAGGTCGGTTCGTCAATACATAGCATATTA